CTCTTTCCCAAAAGTAAAAAAGCCAATGAACTCATATTTATAAATTCATAGCTCAATTTTAGTTTTCAGAGGCAGTGTATTTATCTGACTTATATGATGTATAATGTATTTCCCAAAGAACCCAAATCATTTTTACATTTCGAATCACTACTGAAAAACAAGGCCAAGTGATGATGCTCTACCACCCTCAGCTCTATGCTGACTTTAAAAGATTGGTTCCATCTGCAAAAGATCATTACCTGTTGCTTTTCTTTCATCTTCTTGCTAGAGGCATCTGCCTTTGTTTTGGCACAGTCCAGTTTTTTCTGAGCATCCTTTAGTTCTTTCTCTCTTTCAGCTTCTGCATTTTTCATTTTATTCTCTAATACTTTATACTTTTCTTCTGCCTTTTTTTGGATTTCTTCAGTGTTTCTTAAGGTCGCCTCACATTCCTCTGCGTCATAAAAGAGGCAAATGTGGCTAAATTAGGTAGACTTAGAAATTCAATTTTAAATAGAAAAAATGGCCCAGAAAATTGAGTGCTAAAAAAATTAACTATCAGGACCAGCAGCTGGCGTAATGGCTATGTTGCTAGACTTCCATGTAGTTGACTGTGGTTCAAGTCCTGGATATGGTGGCTTAAACTCAGCTGGGCCCATGTGTGTGCCCAAGATTCCGAGAGGAGAATGGAGGAGAAGGGATTGCAGTGTGACTATACTCCCGGGAGGGGGGATTTCTCGCTTTCTGTCTCTCTTTCTCTCTTTCTGGCAAGTGCACGCACCCTATAACAAAAAACTCTCAAAATAAATAAATAAATAAATGAATAAATAACTATCAATATTCCAACCTTATTTCCAGAAATGGTATATTAAAACAAAGGTTCTCAGGACAGCAGGTGGCATAGTGCTTAAGGTGCTGGAATCCTCACATGGTCAGCCATGGTTTGAGTCCTGGACCTGGCAGCTTGTTTTATCACTCTCTGTCTCTCTCTGGCAAAACTCATGTGAAAAATAATATTAACAATAATAATAAAAAATAATTCATTTTTTTTAAAAAGGTTCTAAGATCCATACTAGAATTATCTAAAGATCTGTAGAGAAATGATTTCTAATGGTGTAAAACTATGTAATAAAAACTTTACCTACTTTAAAAAATATTATAAAGCTATTTAGTGAAAAGATCACAGTTCATATTTTTAACATACATCTATGCTTCTTAAAACCCAAACAAGGAATATTTCCTTAATTTTAGTTAGAAAGAGATAACAATTAATTTTATAAACAAGCTTAGTGTTCTTTGCCCAGATTTATGTATGTCTGTATGTATACACACACACACACTTGTTGTTCCTGTTTTTTTCAATATTCATGACAGACCTAGTGTCAGAGAAATGAGCACACCTCATAGGTCCTGATCACACTGTAATTCCCGTCCTCTAATCATTGGAAACTGGACACTTGTGTCTGTACTCAGCATGGAACAGGGCTGGGGACTCAAACCACAGTCAGCATGTGGGACCTAGATTCTCTTATGCACATTACCCCTGTGCTACAGAGCCAGCCCAAACACAGAAGGTTTTAATGTTACCAATGGTTTTCTTAAGGGCATCTAATTCTTCTTGTTGCTTGTGATATGAGCTTTGCTGGAGCTTGGTTTGTAATAAATCTGCCTCCTCAGTTTTCATCTCCCACTGCTGTTTCAGTTGGTGATACCTTGGAAAATGAGAAGCTTAAAATAAACAACCACGATTTTTCTGGTGTCTGAGTCATGTTTTCAAACTTCAGCCTCTTGCCTAAAATAACCTTATACTATGTACAATATAAGATGCTACTGGTTACAAGAAAAGTTTTGATGACTCAGGTTTCTGAAACCCAAATTAAATTTAAGTCTGAATCGATCGTTGAAGGTAAACAACTCTAAGTGACCCAGATCCATAATTACTATTTACAGAAACAGTCTCTAACTTTAGAAAACAATAAAAATAGTCTCTAGATAGGTTTTCTTAAACATAATCCCTCCTAGGCCAGCCTGTGGCCTAGTGGTTGGGGAAGCCAGATCCCACAGGGCCAACCATACAGTTCGAATCTCAGCCCCAGCAGTTTAAAAAACATGCTGGGTGCATGTGTGTATGCAACCCAAAATCTCAACAGAATGGAGAAATGGAAAAGGGACTGTGGCAAAACTGTACTCTATTAGAGGCTGCTTTTTCCCTCTGTTTCTCTCTTTTTCTCTCTCTGTGAGTGCACATGCAATATGGCATTAAAAAACAAAAAAACATAAAACAAAAAAATCTTCCTCTGATTTTTAACTAAGAAAAAACTATACAAGTACTTACTACAAAAATAATTGTGACAATTATGAAAAATGGATTATCTATCAATACTTTACTCTTATTTTCAAATGTTAATGAAAATGTTTCTACTTTTTGTAATGAGAATGATGTTTTTAAGAAGACATGATATTGGGACCAGCAGTTAGCGTAATGGCTATGTCGCTGGACTCTCATGTAGTTGACTGCGGTTCAAATCCTGGATCCGGTGGCTTAAAACTCACGCTGGGCATGTGCGCGTGCATGCGTGCCCAAGATCCCGAGAGGAGAATGGAGGAGAAGCGATTACGGTGTGGCCATCCCCCTGGAGGGTGATTTCCTGCTTTCTGTCTCTCTGTCTGGCGAGTGCATGCGCCCCGTAGCTAAAATCTCTCTCAAAAAAAGAGAAGACATGGTATAGAACTTAAACATCTGCAATGCACTTTCCCGCAAACCCTGTAATTTTATCCCTATTCTGGCTATTTACTCATTTTTTTGGAAGATAATTTAGTCAATTCAGTTAAGAGTGAAATTTCAATTTAATATAAATTCACAAGGTCAGTAGAAATTCATGAGGTTTGAGGGAAAAATAACATAATATGTAAGATAAAAATAGCCTTTAAATATTCTTGCCTGAAACTGTGCTTGACAGTAATTAAAACAGTAATTTTTACTCTGAGTCATTTTTTAAAACATTTAATAATGGGGTATATAGAAATTTTGAAAAGAAAAGGTGTACTATTTTCTTATATGGTATGAAAGACTGCATTTACTTGGTCCTTCCATTTCCCTATTTTTCAAAATTTATTTTCTCTCTTGATCTCAGTGCCAAAATCAATCAGATAAGCCAATTCTTAAATGACCTCATACTACTCAACAAAAGTAACAGTCATAAGCCAAATGTGTGTACTGACTCATCACCTTGCTAGAGCTTCCACATCTCACAGAAAAATTGTGTTGCATCCTTCCCAAAGAAAAAAGATAATTCACTCTAACTTACGGTAATAAAGATAAAATATAAGGCACTGCGAGTATGAATTTCTTTCTCTCTTTCTTTTTTAGATTTTTGCCATAGAGCACATGCACTCACCAAAGAAAGACAAAGAAAAAGTGAGAAATCACCTGCTAGGGTGAGAGCCATGCTGCAATTCCTTCTGCTCCAGTCTCCTCTCAGGATTTTAGGCATGAATATACACGTGTTTGACCTGATTTTTATGCTGCAGGGTATGGGACTCAAACCATAGTTGGCTGTGTGGGAGTCCAGTGCCTTAACCAGAAGGCCATCTGTTCTCCCCCAACCCTATGTGATATTTTTTTGAGAGGTTCTTGCTATAGGGCAAGTGCACTCGCCAGAAAGACAGAGAGAGACAGAGAGACAGAAAGCAAGAAATCACCCCCCAGGGGGGATGGTCACACCACAATCCCTTCTCCTCTATTATTCTCTCAGGATCTTGGGCACGCACGCACATGAGCCTGGCGTGAGTTTAAGCCATCAGGTCTGGGACTCGAACTGCAGTCGACTACATGGGAGTCCAGCAACATAGCTATTACGCCAACTGCTGGTCCCCCCACATGATGTTTTAAAGTACATAATTTCTTAAGCTTTGGTAACTTCAGAAGATGAATGGTACAAACTTATCACACAAATGCATCAGTCCCTATTTGTCATCTTTAGAAAGATTAGAAAAAATTACAATTAGACTTTCAAAGTACTTTGTAAGTTTGTTTCAATTATACTTTTAAAGATTTTAAGCAAACCTGACTCTTCTCCCAGATAGCCACAGACCAAGTCGTTCACTCATGTTTTAACTCAACACTCATTCTCAGAGAATGTAATATAAATTTCAACACCCAAGAATGTAAAATTTCAAAACTTCTTTGTCATGAATAGTTTTTATCTTCTTTCCTGATTTACTTTTCTTCTTAAATTTAATATATGTTATGCCAGTTTATCTTTATTGTCTGTTTCCTAATATATAAAAACTAGGTGAAGACAAAGATATTTTTGTTTAATTCAGTCCTATATCTCCAACTCCTAAAAAAGTTACTTGGCACACAGGAGGCACTCAGTAAATATTAAGTAAGTAATATTGAGTGAGCAAGTTCATTAAGCAGCATGACCTCAATTTTGAAAAACATGATATGCATATATCTATATTATAAACAAACAGGAAAAATGTTAAAAACTATACATACTTAACAATATTAATGCACAAAACAAACATTGTAAGTAAAACTGAAATTTCAGTGCTGACTCTCTAACATAAACTTTTTAACCTTCTCCTTATGTAACCTAGTAACCTTCCCTATCTGTAGACTGTCATTATGCTTCCAATCCTAGTGCAGACACCTATCAATGCTATAGTGTACTGTATTCAACAACTACGTATCCTCTGGAATCAAGCTCTGAAGTAACAAAGGGTTTTTCCACAAATCCCAAAGAATGTTAACAGTATATATTCTCAGCAAAGAGCAATATACATATTCTTTTGCTTAGAATGCTAATTTCTTATAAAAACATTACTTTTATATGAAAAAAGATAAATTATTCACTCAATTTATTTGAATATTTTAAATAAAAGCAAATGTACTATGAAAAAAGTCATGTTACATTTCTTTATATAAATTAATTTTCTATTATTTTCCAACATGCAAAATTTTGAGCAATATATATATATATATAGACACACACACACACACACACACACACACACACATCTCTAAGCACAGACAGCTCAATCCAACCACAAGTCTTACTTTTCAGCAGTGTTTTTAAGACCCGCTAATTCCTCCTCTAGAGCCCGTAGCTCATTCTCCTTGATTCTCAGCTCTTCCTGAACGTCTTTAAGTTCTTGAAATTTGGTTAAAATAGAAGCCGCCTGGGATCGAGCACCTAATACAGGGGAAGTGGAACAAGTCTTGAACACTAAGTTATGACATACTTATTAAACAAGGTGTTTTCTAAGGTAATTATACTGGAAATGAATAGAAAATCTTTTAGTGAGCTTATAAAGTTATTGAACTCATTCCATTACCTGAACGTTAGAACAAACATAATCGATTAAAAAAATATCTGTAACCAGCATATGGTGTAATGGTTACGCCAAGGAGTCCCACATAGTTGACCTCTGTTCGAGTTCCGGACCCAGTAGCTTGAAATTCATGCCAGGCAAGTATGCCTGCATCTTCAAAATCCCAAGAGGAGAATGGAAGAGAAAGGATTGAGGAATGGCCACTTAGGGGGTGATTCCTCATTTTGTTTTTCTGGCGAGCACACATACCCTATATGCAAGAATCTCTCTTTTAAAAAAAAAAAGTTTTAAATAGATATAGTAGATTATTTATTCAAAATAACCACGGTTCTGTCCACCAGGTCCATCCTTCCAAGGCCCATTTATCACCCATTAACAATGGGGTTTACCATGTGATTTCTTCTGTGCAATGAAATAGCAAACATGCCTACTGTGAAAGTAAGCTTTAAGAGGCAGCACCTAATTCACAATTTGCTTTCCCTAAGTCATGAGAAAAATATGTCCAAGGTAAGAAGTATTCTTTCTTCAGAATGAGTCCCAGAACCAGAATGACTTGGAACAGACACATGGAGTCATATAAACATAGCAAAATTATAGAATAAACTTATAAGCTACCAAGATTTGGGGTGTTACCATAAGGTAACTTGGCCTAAGCTCTGATACAACAGAATAAGTAGAATAAACTGCTCTCAAGTCAACTATTATCTAGTAGTAACAAGTTAAGGCATTATGTTGAAAAAGAAGCTATAGTTCAATAGGAAAATGTCAAGGTCAACTAGCTATGATATTATGAGCACTTTGCTAATAAGATACAGGATTATGTATCTGCTATCCCTTAAGTAGACACTTCAAGAACATCTGAATCAATAAAATCCAAAAGGGTTCCTGTAATAAATATTTTAAAATATTTAGTTTCTATTTCCCAGTTACTAATACTAGCCATTTTATTGTATACTGAGGAATTAGATACTTAATCATGATAAATTCACTTAACTGGTTATTGTTTTCTTGTCCTAAAGAGGCATTAAATCACCTGATATCTCAAGAGGCTTTATACAGTCTCTGGAGTTAAAACCACAAACTCTGGAGTCAGACTACCTCAATTCAATTTGCCACCTACTAGTGAGTTATTCTGTATCTTAATTTCTGTAATATACAATAGAAATGTCAGTAATATGTCTAACCTATCATTTTTATTAGGATTAAATGAGTTAATTACATAAAGCCTTTAGAATAGGCTTTATAGAATAATGGGAATGTTCTGTATCTGCACTGTCCAATTACCCATTAACCATTTATGATTACTGAGCCCTTGAAATGCAACTAGCACAAATGAGTAAATTGCTTTTAATTTTATTTAACTTAATGAAATGTAAAGAGACACAGTGGCTAGAGGCTACTATTCAGTTTGTTAACACATGGGACAGGTCTTAAAACTCAGTGTTGAAAATATAACAAGAATATGATCATTGTCTAGAAATTCTTCTCTTAAGGCATTAAGGTACCATCTCTATATCAGATTTAATATTTTGTTTTACTTTTTTTTCCCTATAGGGCACATGCGCTCGCCAGAAAGACAGAGATAGAGAGAAAGAAAGCAAGAAAAAAACCCCAGGAGGATGGCCATGCTGCAATCCCTTCTCCTCCTTTCTCCTCTTGGGATCTTTGGCATGCACACACATGCACCCAGCCTGAGTTTAAGCCACTGGGTCCGGGCTCAAACTGCGGTTGACTACGTGGGAGTTCAGTGACACAGCTATTACGATAACTGCTGGTCCCATATTTTGTTTTAGTTTTGAAGCAGTGGCAGCACTGGCATATACAAAAGCTAGAAGATGATATATTTCCTGAAGAAGTAGATAGGCTTAAAATGTACTAATAAAAAAAAATACACTTCCCAGTGAGTGAAATATTTGACTGGGCAAAAAGCGATAATAAACAAGAGTATGCCAATATCAATATCCCAGTGACTGAAATATCCTGATGCAGGAAAAGCAAAATTAAATGGGAACAGATATGAGATAAATAATCTTTGATTGTATTGATACTGTACAATTCCTTAAAAGTTTTCAAAAGCTAAACTCAATTCTTAAGATTTACATTAAGGATTTGGAAATAATATTTGATTTTATTTATTAAACCTAGGCCCTAATGTTGGTTCTAATGAAGACAAGAATAAAAACTGAATTAAGTCAACTCAATCTGACTATTCACTATTTAAGGAATGGAGACCCCACTGTATTTACCAAATAGAATCGTGAGGACAAAAGAATGTAAAACTTACCTCCACTCAAAGTCCCACGAGGATCAAATACATCACCTCCTAGAGTTACAGTTCTAGTCATTATTCTTTTATCAAAAGCTACTTTTTTTGCATTATCCATATTGTCACAAACCAATGTTGTTCCGAAGACAAATTCCATTGCTTTCTGAAGTTCTGGCTTGTAGTCAACCAGGTAAAGAGCCACGTGAACATTATCTGAGCCAACCTGTGGGAAAACAACAGATATGCAACATTACATACTACTTTTTTTCCTTTCAAATATTATCTGCGAACCAGTAACTGTCTGTTCTGAGTATTTGTTTATAATGCTACCTCTGTCCACCTTTTTACAAAAACTAACTCCTATGGAACTTAAATGTAGTAGCAGCTGTCACCATGAAAGCAGTCCTATGCAACATATGCACAGTTTTGTTCTTTAACAAAGCGACTACTATAACCAGGTCTGATGAAGGTATCTGAGTGGAAGTAGTTTTGCTGTTATTTGAAATCCCAATTTATTTCTAACACTAGTACTTGACCTACTGCAGAATAAACTTCCTGGGTCTTCTTGACCTAAATGTGATTTTTCAAGTAATCAATCAAACGTACACTAAATATAAGAAAAAATATATACTATTTTTCAATTACTCTGCACTCATTTTCTTCTGATAGCATACAGTTAAAAAAAGTTGACTACAACTATATTTTAAAACCATTTTCAATGAAAACCCAATTCAAGTATGGACATTATATATCCATTTAATATCATAGCAGAGTAAAAACTGAACAATTTAATGTATTTCAAAAAAATAAACTACAGAACTATTAACAAATGTGCATAGCAGAATGTTATGTTCAATGCTGAAAAAGATGAATGTGGGCATGCCCTTGATTTGATTACTGTACACTGTGAATGGTTTTAAAAAACCATGTGGTGGCTCACAAAGATACACTGATTATATGTAAGCCAGAAATCATAATATAAAATTTTTATACTAGTATCTTAATTGTAAATGTTACTTTGTTTCACAGAACTGTCCTTTCAACTTGATAGAACACTGGCTTAATAATGGTTATTGCCATTTGGTTTGATATTTTTATATGGCATTACACAACCATGATATTTTTAAATATATTTCCCTGTTCTAATTATTGCTAGCAATGCATACCACTTTAGATCCACCCAAAAAGCTGATAGGAACCAGAGACTGAACAGCAATCTGGAAAGCTAATAAAGAAGCTTCTCTACAATACTTCAGTAATGGTTATCATTGAGGGAAGTTTAAGTTGCATAAATGAACTTGAAAAATTTTGGACATCGATCCATAAGCTCAATTTTATCTATTTAGAAATCAGATATGTAAGTTTTACTACCGTGTGATAGACATATGACTTGATTTAAGGGTTAAAGAGATTTTAAAACTACATTTTGAAATATTAAAGAGAATCCTACTCTTCCAACTTTCTTATTCTCTTAGCTAACTGCACGTTTTATCAACTGTTAATTTTAAATCTTAATTTTTTAAGAGTAGTAACAAAAATATTATAGTTCTACATATGATTCTATCCTCTAAAATTAATGTCTTCTAACTTAAAAAAGAAAAAGGTACAAATTAACCATAAATAAGAAAAAAATGAGACTTACAAGATTCTGGGCAATCCTTAGAGTTTCTGGAGCAATACATCTGGCTGAAATTTTATTGAGTGGAATTATGGTGTATCGACGTTTTAAGTCCCCCTTTTCTAGTAGCTTTTTACCAGTAACCTAAAATATACATTTGAAATTAAAAATAAATTATTAATGACAGAAAACATTAAAATGGAAAGACTTAAAAGTTTAGTAGTTCATAATCAAATGTTTAGTGCTTTGTATTCTATACAATCAAAAGTTTAAGACCATATATACAATGGAATATTATTTAGCCTTGGGGCAGAAAAAGGAGATCCTGCCATTTTTGATAACATAGATAAATCTGGCAGACTTTTTTTTTTTTTTTGGAGAGATTTTCACTATAGGGCGCCTGTGCTCGCCAGACAGCCAGAGATGCAGAGACAGAAAGTGAGAAATCACCCCCCAGGGGGGATGGTCACATCGCAATCCCCTCTCCTCCATTCTCCTCTAAGGATCTTGGGCATGCACGCACACACACCCGGCGTGAGTTTTAAACCACCGGATGTGGGATGCGAACCACGGTCGACTACGTGGGAGTCCAGCGACATAGCCATTACACTAATTGCTGGTTCCCACAGACTTTATAGTAGGTGATGTACACCAGACACATACACACACACACATACTGTATGATCTCATTTATAGGTAGAATCTTAAAAAATAAAAGTTGAGTAAATAGAAACAGAGTAGAACAGTGGTTACGAGGGCAGGCAGGAGGAGGAAATAGGTAGAAGTGGTTGTGGGTGTTTCAAAGTATACAAATTTACAGTTAGACGGGATAAGTTTAGAGAAGTAAGGTACAGCCTGAAGACAGCAACTAATATTGTATTTTACACTGAAAATGTGATGATGAGGACAGATTTTAAGTGAAAAAAAATTGTGAGGTAAAGAAGGTTACTATATAAGGTGATAAATATGTTAGTATGTTTGTAGCAATCATTTCATTATGAATATGTATCAAAATGTTTCACATCTTAAAAATGTCTAAGGAATAAATTTTTAAAAAGCATAAGGAAGTAAATTTGACTCTTATACAGCATTTATATGAAGAAGTTAAGAGCATTCTACAGACAAATAAGAACTGAAAACTGAGGAAGTACAGGTAAAAAGCCTTACATTAATAATATGTATCCTAAGTTCATATCTAAGGATTAGGTTTCCTTTGGAATACAGTTATCAACAAGTCACAAACTGAATAGTATTACCATAAAGATAGCTGACTTTAGAAACTTAAAACAAGAAGTACTGAAACCATCAAATTCTTCTTCTAGTAGTACATTTTTTAAGGTAAATAGCAATTTTAAAAATTTTTCATCGACTTACCTCTGTGTCTACTACAACATTGTAGAGCCGTTCCCCAGCCACTAATTCTAAAGCTGTAGTTGCAGAACTATCTTTCACACTAATCAGAGAAGCTACAAGTCCTTTCACACAATTTTTATTCCAGTTCTTCTCTGGGTCCCTAAAATAGAAAAGATGCTAAAAATTAATCTTAGATAAGAAAATAGAAAAGATATACTTTACTAGTCAAGAGCTCTTTCAGACATGTTGATCTGAAATGAAAGAAGAACAGCAAGTTTTAACAAAACAAAAATCTTTAGAATGTCCCAGATGGCTAAACTGGTTAAATCAGTTAACAAATCAGTATGTTTTCCAACGTAACAAAAACAACTCTACAATACTTGATTACTGTTTTTATTCTGCCAAAAAAACCCACTTAGCAAAACAAATTAGAAGATGTAAATATAGTTATTTAACAGTAATGATAGGATAACTTTAAAGATACTTTGAACTGCTATTAAATTTTCCTCCTCTGGGTTTTAATTTAAAATAAGTGGCATCAGTAGCCTTCAAATTTAACTGACTTGCCCATCAACATATGAAACAGTTCAATAAATGTATAAAGAAAAAAAAATACCAATTAAGGAAAAGCGGCTTCCAAGAGTTTTTTGTACATGAATCTTGATGTCAATAAAATTTTCAGATTACCTTTCAATTTAAATAAAATACATCTTGGTTATCACTATGTTAAAATCTAAGATTTAAACTTCTTACTTGTATGCAAACTGAAGATTGGGAAATCTGGCCAAGAGAGCTTCATATGTTTCTTTCAATCTACTGATATCACGAGATAATTGCCTGCGCTTCTCCAAAAGACTTTCCTCCTTATTTTCTGAAGAGTAAACCATAATTAAAAATTTAAAAAAAATTACAAGAAAACAGTATGCAAACTGAAGATTGGGAAATCTGGCCAAGAGAGCTTCATATGTCTCTTTCAATCTACTGATATCACGAGATAATTGCCTGCGCTTCTCCAAAAGACTTTCCTCCTTATTTTCTGAAGAGTAAACCATAATTAAATTGAAACCAAATTAAAAAAAAATTAAAAGAAAACAGAAACACCTCACATATCCTACTATTTTTAGGAAAATATTAGTAACTCCTATTTCTAAAGCATTCCCAAAATGCCAAATATAAATTTCTGACACATATTAAATAAAAAGTATGCTTAACATTCAATTTTCTATCTAGTATCAAGTAGATCAATGATCCCCAATCTTTTTGGCACAAGGGACCAGTTTCATGGAAGACAATTTTTCCGTGGACCAGGGGATGAGGGTGTGGAAGGAGGAGAGGGGAAAGTTTCAGGATGATTCAAGCATATTACATTTATTGTGGACTTTATCTCGATTAATATTACATTGTAGTATGTAATGAAATTATTAAACAACTCACCATATGCAGTATCTGCAGTCACTCCCCAGTGATGGCATAACCACCTCAGATCATCATTCATTAGATTCTAAGGAGTGAGCAACTTAAATCCCTCACATGCACTGTTCAAAATAGGGTTCCTGCTCCTATGAGAATCTAATACCACTATTGATCTGACAGGAGGCAGAGTTCATGAGGTAATGCAAGCAGTGAGGAGTGACTGTACATACAGATGAAACTCTTCTTTCTAGCCTACCACTCATCTCCTGCTGTGTGGCCCAGTTCTGAACAGGCCACAGACCAGTAAGGGGTTGGGGACCACTGAAGAAGACATTACTTCCAACAACTAATAACACAACCTTCATTCCAATGAATGAAGAATTGAACCTTACTAATGAAGAAATAAATATACAAATGACATCTCTGAACTTTCAAGTGGTTGATGTAATATAAATGTTCTGAAAAATCCGAAGGGCTGTTTTATACTTAGATAGCCTGACTATATTTATAAATAATTTATATATATACTAATGCCCACTAACAGGGTTATAAAAAGTTTCCTACTTGTTTATTCCCTTCATTTAAGTTAGTTTCTATCAACAATCCCTACTTTATAATGATTTATCTATCATGTCCTTAAAGGCAAACCTTTATAATTTAACTTTTTCATCTCAACTTCGAGTTTTTCTTTAAGTCTGTTTACGGCTTTTTTAACTTTGTTTTTTATTCTGTACCTAAAGGCTTCTTGATCCTTCCTGTAGCCATTATTCATCTTCTTAACTTCAGCTTGTTTATTCTTTAATTCCTGTTGGGCATGTTTCAACTTCATCTGAGCCTACGATAGAAAAATACAACACACTGTATGAGGCAGATAGTGCTAGTAATTAAATGGCCACAGATTCTGACTGGTTTAATTAACAGAACTCAGCCTTGAAAATGTAACTATTTGATTTCTTAAAAGAGCATTTCCACAGATGAATCACTTTCCACTATTTTTCTCAATAAACTACTTAGAGAATTAATACATGATTAATAAAAATCAATAAACAATTTGTAATTTGACTCCATATTTTTCTGAGAGGCTTTTGCTATAGGGCATGTGCTCTCATCAAAGAGATAGAGACAGAAAGTGAGAAATCACCCTCCAGGGGGGATGGCCATGCCTCAATCCCTTCTCCTCCAGTCTCCTCTTGGGATCTTGGGGCATGCACGCACATGCACCTGGCATGAGTTTTAAGCTACCGGGTCTGGGACGTGAACTGCAGTCGACTACATGGGAATCCAGCAACATGACATAGCCATTATACTAACTGCTCATCCCCTTTGACTCCATATTTTTAATGTTTATAAAATATGACATATTACCTAAGCTGAAAAATTATACCAAGGGTTAACTGCCAAAAACTGGTTTAAGTTAAAAACATAAGAGAAAGCCAGAAATCACAACTTTTAAGTTCTTTTAATTTCTACTTCATATTTATATTTTTGTGTATTGTGAGTTCTATCTCATTACAGTGGAGAAAGTGCACTGAGCAGAGAAATAAAATTAAAAGAATATAGGAAAAAGGGGGACCAGCAGTTAGCGTAATGGCTATGTCACTGGACTCTCATGTAGTTGACTACAGTTCACATCCCGAACCAGGCAGCTTAAACTCACGCCGGGCGCATGTGCGTGCATGCCCAAGATCCCGAGAGGAGAATAGGGAGAAGGGATTGCGGCATGGCCATCCCCCCTGGAGGGTGATTTCTCGCTTTCTATCTCTCTTTCTGGCGCGCACACGCACCGTATAGCAAAAACCTCTCCAAAAAAAAAAAAAGTATATAGGAAAAAGGAAGCCAAACAGAGAGATTTTTTTTGAATGCTAGGAATCTAGTATTTAAATGCTAGAACTTCAGGAATTTAAAGTTTATATAATTGAGTAATGCTTCCTAAAACCATTAAGTTGTACTCTAAAACCTATGTGGGGATATCTTCCTTCTAAAACTGAATAAAGATATATATATTTTTTCTATCCAGTTCTCTTAAAAGTTAATAGAAATACCAAGAGTATGTTACAGCTTTTCTACTACTGAGTTCTTACAAATTTTGGTGGCCATCTTCTCTGTCACCTACAAATGAAAACGTCGCAAACACATATCAATACAAAAAAAACAAAAACAAAAACAACCTGAATAGGGTTTCTATACATATATCTTTAAAGCTGAGTCCATTAAGAAAAAGTAAAGAGTGTATTTTTTTTAACTGCAAAACTCTTGTGTTCATTAGACTTTACACTACTCTCTTAAAAAAATTAAGAAATAGTATAACAGACTGACAAGATTTTGGAGATTATGCAATGAGAACAATAAGAATAAAGACTGGACTGTAGGTAATTGTGAAGTAGAGATGCTTCCTTAAAGGATAATGTACAGTTTCAAAAACAATGTTATAAGAACTAGATATAGTAAGCAAAGCAATGTTTTACTTCCTTAAAGTTTAAGACTTAAACTATATGTCATCAATAAAAGCATAAAATACAGTCAAAAAAGATGAAAATTGACTAATTTCAAATATTTTATACAATGCTGCAAACAGAATAAATCTCTCACTACTCTTCCAAATAAAATTTAAATGTTTTACAACATTCTGACATACTGAAATCATCAATATTTAGCAATCAACATATTTGAATTTTGCTGTATTAGGTCCTACAGAGTAGCAATAAACAAGTTCCTTGACGCAATTTTCAACATTTTATAACAATGACTAAAGTACATACAATGTCAAAAGCAAGTTAAAAAAAGGCGATCACACAGTCTATATTTAATATCTATATTTACCTGTTTGGCTTCTGTCTGAGCTTTACTTATATCATTTTTACAGGCCATCATTTGACCAGCAAAAGTTGCTTCTGCTCCGTCTTCATTACTGGACAGACCAGCGGAAACAGCATTGAAGTGCTGTTGTGCAGCGGCCAAAGCTTCGGTATCTTTATGACTTGCTTCTTGAAGGGCATGCAACCCATCTGTTATCTTTTTAACCTCTTTCTCCTTTGCTGCTAAAGTTTTAGAGTCCTGTAGGAAGAATTTCAAATTGGAAAATGTTTTATTTCAGGAAAGACACCCAAAGAGAGACACCGAGGGAAAAATACCACCACCACCCCCTGCAGTGGCTGCTTTCTCATCTTCTCCATTTCTCTGTCAAGTTGGGTTTAGGGTACTCATACATACATGCCTTGCATGTTTTTCAAGCTGCCCAGTCCAAAACTCAAATGGTACAGTCAGCTATGTGGGATCTACCTCCCTTAATCATTAGGCCACAGGGCCGTCCCCATATATACTCATGTCATCAAATTTCAAGGCAGTTTCAAGTGCACATCATAAGGAAAATAACTGTACCATCACAACTTTAAATACTGAATTCCAATTTTGAAATTCACTCTGTTTTGGGATAAATGTGATTCTAGCAATCCTGAAATATTGTCATTCCGTATGTTATAGTCAAATTTAGGAGACAATAGGCTAAAAAAAAAAAATCACTGCATATTTAAACAACCCATTTGACAAAACTAAAAACCAATTTCTAATAGTAATACAATTAATGATAATCAGCCATCCTACACTAACTTGAAAACTAGAGGTTTTAGGATTAAGAGCATATACATGATATATTCAATAAACTATTAAGGACTATTGATTAATGAATGGTTGTCAGAAACGTATTACTAATAGTTAACACCCTTTAAGCAATATTAAGTACACATACATTAAACACTATGCAAGATACCAGCACTGGAAAAAAACAAAAAATCACCTTTCTTGTTTAACTGACCAGATTTGGGTCTGTTGATGAGTCAGTTCAGGATTCATTAAATATTAACTAGGTACTTACTATTTGTCAGGCACTGTTTTAAGACATTAGAGACACAGAATAAAACCCTGTCCTTGAGAAGCCTTATTCTAGGCTAAAGACAACGTAAACAAATTAAGCAAGGTAAGAAGGGGATAGAGTGATAAAAACCACTATTTTTGAGCAGAAACCTGAATGAAGTGAGGGTGACTGTGCAAATATTTAAGAGGGCAGTGGACTTGGCAAGTCCTGAGGAACATGTCGGGGCGTTTGAGGAACTGGTTGGAGCACAGTGCGTAAACAGTGGGAGCCATACCATGAAGTGTCATACAGGATACATTAAAAACTTTTATTTAATTATCCATGTGACTGGAATCATGAAAGGATTTTAAACACAGAAGAGATATGATCCAATTTATACTTCATCTTTTATATTAAACAACATATGGAATAATATAATAAAAGGAGGGCAACAAATAAAAACACCGCCTTTGAAGCCCTCTTAGTAGGTAATGACTTGAGCAAGGTTGGACGTGACAGAAGAAATAAAAAGTGGTTATATTTTGGACTTACTTTAAAGTTGATACAGTTTGCTGATGGAGTTTGAGAGAAGAGGAGAATTCAGAAGGAGCTAGGATCTCTAGCTTGAACAATTAGGTGAGGGTTAGTGCCATTTACTGACATGAAGAATAATTTAGTAACATGAGTAGGTTTGGAGAGGTAAAGAATATTTGTGAATTCTATTCTGGATTTTATACTTCTGCTAGTCACCCAGGTAAGAACATTAAGTAAGTAGCAGGATCAAGCAATCTAGTTTGCAAGACAATTCTCCAGGTGGCCTAAAATTGACTAAGTTTTCCCCCTTTCTTAGTGGTAGTTTACAAAGGGAACTCTAGGGTCAGCCCATGGCATGGTAGTTAAGGAGGCTAGTTCCCACAGGGCCGGCTGCCCAGTTTGAGTCTTGGATCCTGAGGCTTGAGATACACACTGGGCATATATACATGAAGGCTCAAAATCCTGAAGGGAGAGATTGAGGAGGAGGGATTGTGGCATGACCTTTTGCCATGGGGGGGTACTTTCTCACTCACCACCCTGCAAGCACACATGCCCTCTTGCAAAAGTTTCTTTAAAATATCATAACTAGGACCAGCAGTTGGCGTAATGACTATGTCGCTGGACTCCCATCTACTAGACTGCAGTTCGAGTTCCAGACTTGGTGGCTTAAACTCACACCACGCATGTGTGCGTGTGTGCCTAAGATCCTGAGAGGAGAATGGAGAAGGGATTGCAGCATGACTATCCCCCCTGGGGGGAGTAATTTCTCGCTTTCTGTGTCTGTCTTCCTGGTGTGCGCACATGCCCTATAGCAAATACCTCTCCAAAAAAAAAATATATATATATGTATATGTAACTATAAAATGTACTAGAAATGTCACATCTGAGATTTGGAAGGAACAGCCTTCTCTAGAAACAGAATGTCCAACATTTCAGGTTGCCACGAGGTATAAAACCAGAGCAAGCAGGCTACAATCAGACATCCCTCAGCTGAGGTGGAAGTCAGGCACACATGGAAGATACCTCTGGAAATTTTCCTAAGTCTATGGAACAGTTCACTTTGAATCCTAGGCTACTGCCATTTATTACTACCCACCCATAAGTAATAAATCTGCTTCATATAACCTATTGTGTTGAGTGTGTTTGGTCTATAAGACACAGCAGTTGGTAACCAGTGCACAGGGAACCTGCTCCATGAAACTGGTGAGAAGGGTCCACTCTGATAGAATCGCAGCCTACTGACAAAGCTGGAGTGGCCTTTCTCGCCTTTATTCCTGGTCCAGCCCAGAGACATTAGCCTGGAGGGATTTGGGACTGAACATGCAGCTGAACATGATAAACATGCTCCTTTATAAGAAAGGCGACACAGTAGGTGGGACACAGGCATCCGATCATGAATATGAACGGGCTGGCTGCATAGATGAAACACCAAGAAAGTAGTGGAGAAATGGGGTTAACAGCACGAGATCCCTGGTTGTTGGACACTTAGATAATTGCCCATTCCTGGAATCAGAGAGTTTGGAAGTGGGTAATCAGACTGTCCCTGAGACATCTAAGTGGAAACCAACACACATAATGCAGGCTTCTACATAATGACTCATTATAGTAACTGATATGAAAAAAGACCAGGAAGTCTTATGTAGT